TTACAGAGCTCTCTGTGAAATCCCCAACACCCTTGGTAGGCACCAAATATAAACAGTTGACATAAGAGGAGGGCACAGGTTAACTGTATTCAAGGTATCTTTATCTCAGAAAAGTAGCCAAGCTACCATTAGAGACTGAAATAGATGGATACCTCATACCGTTGCTGGGTTTCTTGGGGTTCATATAAACCATGTCTTTATACCCAATGTTATGTGCTGAATTGTGTTCTTCTACAGTTTATATGTCGGAGCCCAGGTTCTCAGAAATGTGAGTGTATCTCAGAATGTGACTATATTTGAAGATCAGGCTTTTAAAGAAGTGATTAAGTTAAAATGAAGCCCTTAGGGTGGGCTCGAATCCAATGTGACTGGTGTGTTTATAAGAGAGGAAATGAGAACACACAGAGATGTTTCAGGGGCACATGCACAGAGAAAAGACCCTGTAAGGACACTGCAGGAGAGCAGCCTTCTTCAGGCCATGGAAAGAGGCTCAGAAGAAACCAAACCTGCCAAAGCTGTCATTTTGGACTTCTGGCCTCCAGAACTGTGAGAAAACACATTTCTGTTGCTTAAGCCATTCCGTCTGTGGTAATTGTTTCAGCAGCGTTAGCAAACTGATACACCCTGTCACCAATTCTTCCAGTCCTCTTGAATTACATCTTTTATTTCTTGGATCAGTGCTCAGTGTGCCACCGTGACATCCCTTGGTCCATGACACAGCTCATCCCATCCAACATCCCGGACTAGAGCCCTGGAGCTTGGTGTCAGTGAGGGCAGAAGGGAAGGCTCCATGCTTTCCCTCTTCATCCCAGGAATGGGAACAGATTAAGGAGGCTCACTTTTATTCTGCCAAGGTGTCATAGTTTGGGATAGCACATCCTGAACTCCCTCAGTACTAAAAATCAACAAATGTACCAAGAGAATTTAAAGAAGAGAGCCATCCTATGTGCATGGGTCTAAAGACTCAGTATTATTAAGATGTGGATTCTCCCCAAACTGATCTATAGATTCAACTCAATCCTAATCAAAATCCCTGGAAGATAAGCTGATTCTAAAATCATATGGAAAGGCAAACAACCTAGACCTGCCAAAAGAACTTTTTTTAAAAAAAAAATTATTTATTTATTAGAGAGAAAGAGAGAGAAAACACAAGCTGGGGGAGCAGCAGGCTCCCCGCTGAGGAAGGATCCCAATGAGGGACTCGATCCCAGGACCCTGGGATCACGACCTGAGCCGAAGGCAGACGCTTAACGACTGAGCCACCCAGGCATCCCAGAACTTTTTGTTTTAAGATTTTATTTTTAAGTAATCTCTATATCCAAGGTGGGATTCAAAATCACAACCCCAAGATCAAGAGTCCAATGCTCTACCCATTGAGCCAGCGTAGCGCCCCTAGAATAGCCAAAACAACTTTAAAAAGAGCAAAGTTGAAAGGCTAATGCCACTTCAGAATATGTTCTAGATGAAGCATAAATGTAAAAATAGGACTGGATACACTCCAATTTTATGCTTTCATCTCAGAAGAGTTAAGAGGAGTGAGAATGGAGAGAGGAATAAAGGGACTCCAGTGTTTTTATATTTTCTTTATTGAAAAAATTCTAAGCAAATGAAAAACAATATTTATTAGTGTTGAGTACTATATATTGGCTTGTACTGATCTACATTTAATCACCTTAAAAATGAAATGAGCCCATGAGAGGGCAGGGGAAGGACTTTATAAAACCTACCAAGAAGTATGAGGAACTCCAGAAGAATCCCCATGCCCCTGAGTTTAGCTTCTCCTCTCCTGTGAGACTCTGCGGCTCTACTTCTACCACCCTCACACTGGGCTGTCCTCTGCATGCTTGTCTCAAATGTAGACAAACAACACTTTCCCTGTTTCTATTAGCACTGTCTAGATAGTTTGGAATTTTCAAAAATAACTTTACAAGTTGAAAAGATGACTTACAGAAAAAATTTTCATACTAGGAAATTAATCGATCGAAACAGGTTTAGATTGTCTACTCCCCACCCTTTCCAATGGAAGTAACTAAGGTGTCTAAGACAGTAGGTCAAGCTGTCAGAGAAGCACCATGTTTTTACTGACCCCACATCTTCTAGTCAATATAAATTTTCTTTTGTTCCTTAAAAGTACAGTGTTATCTGATCTGATTCTCAAATTCTGTTTCCACACAAGCGTGGGTAGGTGACATGTTTTCATTATCTCCTTAGTTCATTTTCTCTGAGAACTGAGGCATCTCTAAACCAGGGCTCACCGTCTTGGAACCGGGCCTGGCCTTGGGATGCCACTGGAGCCACGGATCCTGAAGCTCCTCAGAGCCTCCTGTGCTGGGAGGAAAGGCAGAGGGTCAGGATAACCTGGAGGGGGAGACACAGGATGGGAGCAATGGGAGCTCACGTGGGTCTCAGTCCAGGCCCTGCTGGCTCTGGCCAATTCCCACCACTACAGGCAGACTTTTAAGGGGCACCTTAAAAAGTCGGTACAGCATGAGACATTTCATCTCAGGGTCATGAGTTCAATCCCCACATTCAGTATAGTTTACTTAAAAAAAAAAAGTTAAATAAAAACTTAAAAGGGGAGAACTTCAAAAGTGTTGCAAAGTGTGAGGGCATTCCTGAGTTGTGGGCCAGACCCAAGACTCCACTTTTCCGTGTAAGGGCAGTTCCAGCTCTAATCCTATATTCTGCATGGCCCACAAAAGAAGCCTCCTGAAGGCACATTTGTGCAATTGAACTCTGTCTGAGAGATATGACTGACTGATGCAGGTGGGTCAATCAGACATCCTTCAGCAGGAAATTATATTTACCAATGAAACAGAAAGAGAGATGAACCTGTGCTCGCCACATGAAACAGAAGGGCCAAGGAAATGAATATGCTACCGACAGCCTGAGGGAATGCATAGAAAGGAACATTGATGAGGGATACCAAGAGGCCCTATCTTTCCAGTCTTGAGTCCATAATTTCCTGAGGCACCAGTTAAAAATTCTCAGCCTGTTGGGTATCTTCCCTCCTACTGAATTCTAGCCACCTGGGTTAGCCATAGCGAGAAGACAAAATCTTTTGAATACTTTCATTGACCAGAAGTAACAGACCTTTTCTATACAGGACCAGACAGTAACTATTTCACCTTTGTGGGCTACATGTGGTCTCTCTCTTCCCCTCCCCTCCTCCTCTTCCCCTCCCCACCTTCCAGGTGTTCCTACCTCTAGATGGGCAGTGGTTCCTGAATACAGTCATGCCGGGACCTTTAAAAAACATTCCATCAAGCCCAGGCCCCATCCTCACAAATTCATTTGGTTGTTTATTAAGTGTTCATAATTTCATTTAAAGGGATTGAGTTGGGAAAACTTCTGTGTCTCTCCTTTACTGTCACACTGATAACACACTCACAACACTCCTGACACCACATGTGTGTGTTGGGGGGTTGGTTTCCTACACCAGGCCACTCTGGGACATTGGATGAATATTCTATGATTTAACTCAATTCTGACACTACCTCCCTGGAGATAGTATCAGCTCCCCCAGGATCAGGGCTCAGTCTCACAAAACTCCCCCGGTCCAAATGCCAATCCCAAGTCCAACTTGTCTCCTGTGCTTCTGACTGCCTGGCTATAAATCTGAGCTTCCCACCACCCCCTTGTTTATTGGATTGATTTGCTAGAGCCACTCACAGAACCCAAGGAAACACTTATGCTTTACCAGTTTATGAAAAGATATGATAAGGAAAGAGATGAATAGCCAGATAAAGAGATAGCTAGAGTAAGGTATGGAAGGGTCCCTAGCAAAGGAGCTTCTGTGTCCATGGAGGTGGGGTGCAAAAGAAATTGATTTAATTGCAATGAACACAATGCAACAAAGCTTGGCAGAAGTTCCAAGCTTAAAAATATGGGACCTGGGTCTTTCGTGTCCCTTTTCCTTATTGCCTTCCATCAAGACATACAGAGCTCCAAAGCAGAAAAGAATTCTATTTGTTTTTGTCCACAAGTCTGGTCTGGCATCTTGGCCCTGTAATTCTCCCACTCCCTGATTTCTTTCTTCTAAAGGAATCATGGAAGTCAACAAAGGAAACAGAAGACAAAAGGGATGATAAAAAACTTGCACCAGGTGAGAGGGAAAGTAATGGAAACCTTGGTCTTAACCTAAGTGTACAGGAACCAGAGGGTTGGTAAAATCTAAGTGTACAGGAAGCAGAAGATGGGGAGGGTAGCCTGGCTGAGAGTCGTTATGGCAACAATGTAGAACCGGTTCTGGAGTGTAGTGCTGTATCTACAGTTGGGATATGTCCATCCAGCAGTAAGTCATGCCAATACAATTTGCACTCTGGTGGCAGTTATTCTGGCCTCTACTGCAGTTCATGTTTGGCAAAAGACAGGTATCTGACACATTCTGGAAGGAGTCATGTAAAAAAGTGTTCTCAGGCTTACAGTACTGTTCAAGATGATTGACAGGAGGCATTTCTGTGTTGCATTGGACAGGACCTGCTCTTAGATGCCAAAGTACAAATGTTTGAACACTGGTGGAAGATTGAGCTCAGTCATCCAGTGGATGCACTGGCCCGCATGATCCCAGCAGCAACAGGAGAAAGGAAAGGGTCCCAGAAGATCCAGCATCATCTCTTCTGTGTAGGAAGAGGGAAGAAAGTGAGAAAATGACAGTAGTAGAAGCCATAAGAGCAAAATTATTATTCACAACCATTTAGATCTTTAGTGTGCCTTTTAAGATTTCATTGGTCCTTTTCTTGTTGTTTAAACCATCTTCCTTCTGACCTGGGTCTCACATTCTATGAAGGACCTGAAGCGCAGGGAGGAGGAATGTGAGGTAAGATGACTTTTCCTCTGACTGGCAGATCCCATTCTTCTCTTTGTCCTGTACTTACTGGTCCAGAACCTTGTCTCTTCCCCCCTCCCTCCTGAAATATTTCTCCTCCATCTATGTGACCTGGACCTTCTGGCCATCTTCATGGCTCTACTCTCCCCAGCCCCCGAGGTTTTCCTCTTACCAGTCTCCGTGCTGGGGCTCCCGCTGAGATCAGAGGCAGTGGTTAGTCCCAGGCTCAGAGGCTTTTGCCAGCTGTTCCTCTGCCAGGTGTGCCAGCGTGGTCTGCGTGCAGCAGGGGAGGGTTCCGAGCCCTAGGAAAGAGGAAAGGGAAGTAGGGCTTGGAAGATGCACTTCTTATGCACAGTGTGGATGAGACCCACACTCTCCAACTCACCGTTTAAAGCCAGTATCTCTGCAGTTCAGGAAGAGCAAACCTACTTAAAGGAACAAAGGAGAAGTGATAACTTCCTCAAAGAAGCTGTGAGGAAATGATGACTTCCTGGTACCATTTGAGTGCTTTCTTCACAGACTGAAGCTTCAGTGTTTCAAGCTCTATGATTTCAGTTCTTTAGGAGAAAACACACCATGTAAATTTGATATAATAGTTGACCATGTACCTGGTAATGTTTTGAGTTCCAACAACAGACTTGGATGAATTATTCATTTATGTGTACTTTTCTTGGGCCGGATACTGGGCTACTCGGATTTAGGAGCTCATGATCTAATGAAAGGTACAGTCAGATAAATAGAGAAATACATTGTATATTAAGAACTGTAAATAGCTCTTTCAGCTGTGGTGGAGGACATACCAGGGGGCTGTGAGGAGCTTGTAGAGAGAAGGCCACAACACCTTGAACTGAGTTTTGAGGATTAATTAGAAGTTAGGTGAAGAGGATGGTAAGGTCATTCCAAAGAGGGAACTGCGTGTGAAGACAAGGCAGGAACCTTGGCTCCTGGACCCACTTGGAAAACATAAGCAAAAACAGTTGCATTAGTGGCATTATTAAGTTACTCTTCATTGTTTTGTTCCCTACTAAATTATTTATATACTCCTTCTTTTTCTTTGAAAGATTTATTTATTTATTTATTTATTTGAGAGAGAGACAGTTCATGAGTGGGTGGAGGGACAAAGGGAGAGAATCCTCAAGCATGCTCCCCACCAAGTGTGTAGCCAGATCGGGGCTCAATCCCACCAGCTAGAGATCAGGACCTGAGCTGAAACCAAGAATTGGAAGCTCAACTGACTGAGCCATCCAGGTGCCTGTTTTCCTTACCTCTTAACCTCATGCACAATCATTAACTTTGCCTTTTCACTCCTACTCCCTGTTTACCCACTGATTGTAGAAACATAACGGGAGCAGACAGTAACATCTGTTTTGATGTGTCTGATCCCAGGTCCCAAATAATGCCTCATTGTCCACAAGAATGCTTACCTCCAGATTGTTTTAGGGACTCCCAACAAGGATAAAAAAAACCCTTACTTTCCTTTTATGTATATAAGTTGTCCCTAAGATCAACAGGGCAAGGCAGCTTTGGGAATGATCCCCTGCTTTCTCCTTGGGCTGCCTCTTGACTATAAAGCTTTCCTTGCTTTAAATCCAGTGTCTCAGAATTTGAGTTACTGCACATTGGGTACATGGACAAGCTGGAGTCTCGTAAGAAAGAGACCCATAGGCATGAAAAAGAAGGGCCAAGTTAGCGTATTTGCCTCTTCAATCTGTTCTTACTTTTCCATTAGTGCTGTAATTCCCTTATTTGGAATCTTATTGTCTCCTGGAGGGCTCACTGAAAAGCCTCGTACAGGGACAGGGTCCCTGCCTCTAGCCTCTTTTCCTTCCAATCTGTTCTACATATCACTTCCAGATAAATACTCTTTGAGCATAAATAGAATAGTGGAAGACTCTTGTTTTTAAGGTCTTCAATTATCTACAGGATAAAAATGATGTCGTTTTAGAGCAAAATTACAAGATACAAGGTTAACATACAAAAATCAAATGCTTTCTTATATACCAGCAATGAATAATTGAAATATGAAAAAAAGTACATTAACACCAATGAAAAGTGAAATACTTAGATATGAGTCTACTAAAAAATGAACAATATCAATATGAGGAAAACTACAAAACTCTGCTGAAAGAAATCAAAGAAAGTCTAAATACCTGAGGAGATATTCCTTGTTCATTGCTGAAGGAAACCAGACTATGTCACCCCAAATTGGCTCTTTGAGACAAAAATTTGCACTAAAGGCAGTTAAGAATCAGTAAATGCAGAAAAGTCTGTCCCTTTTTTGCCTAAAAGCAGAAAATAAATTTTTTTCCTGGAGACAATCTCTTACCAGCCAGAGATGGCATCAGAGGAATCTGGAAATAAACATTGTTAAACTAACCCTTTTCTTTCTAGTTACTTCTTCACCATTTCTACCTATAGACCAAACCCTTTATCTTGTCAATTCTTCACAAATATATTGTTTCTTTGTCTAAAAGGAATAAAACTTCCCGCTCTGGTCACTTCTTCAGGTCTTCATTCCCTTGCGAAGGTCCCATGTACATGTAAAAATTTAATCAAATTTGTATGCTTTTCTTCTACTTATCTCTGTCAGTTCAATTTTCAGACCAGCCAGAGACCATAAGAGAGCTGAGGAAAATGTGTTCCTCTCCTACAATGACATTATGCATTTTCAAAACCCCTAGAACTGTATAATGTAACGATTTAATGCTAATTAAATTGTGGACTTAAGTTAATAATAATCAATATTGGTTCATCAATTATAGGAAAAGTACCACACTAATGCAAGATGTTAATAACAGGAAAACTGTGGGCTGTGTGGTAGGAGAGTGGGGAAGGGAGAAGCATATGAGAATTGTCTATACTTTTTTTAAAAAAGATTTTTATTTATTTATTTGAGAGAGTGGGAGCACAAGAAGAGGGAGCAGGAGAGGGAGAAGGAGAAACAAACTCCCCACTGAGCAGGGAGCCCAATGTAGGACTCCATCCCAGGACCCTGGGATCATGACCAGAGCTGAAGGCATATGCTTAACCGACTGAGCCACCCAGGTACCCTGAGAATTGCCTATAGTTTCTACTCAATTTTCCTGTAAACCTAAAACTGCTCTGAACAAATAAGCCTACTAATTAAAACAAAAACAAAAACAAAAAACAATCAAGCTGTCTGTTTGCCTAGCACTCATCTATCCTATTCTACAGCCACACGTGTTAGGACACTCCCCCTTCTCTCTGCAGTCCCACAACTTGATAATACCCCAAGCCCACTACCAGAGGAAAACAGTATCAGATTACCCCTGTGCCTATCTGGAGTTCCCAACCCTGGCCTCACATTAGAAGTGCCTAAGAAACTTTTAAGAATGCCAATATCCCAGGCCTCCTGAAATAGAATTTTTGGGAATCAGGTCTGTTGCATGTCTGTGTTTGATGAGCTCCACGGTGAATCTTATACCCGTTCCTGGTGGAGAACCATTTTTCTTGGCTGACACTGGTTTTCACTCAGTGCCCAAGTTCTCCAGACTGGTTTTCTTTTCTTTTCTTCTCTCTCTCTTTTCTTAAAAAAGATTTTATTTATTTATATGACAGAGAGAGACACAGCAAGAAAGGGAACACAACCAGGGCGAGTGGGAGAGGGAGAAGCAGGTTTCCTGACAAGCGGGGAGACTGACGCGGGGCTTGATCCCAGGACCCTGGGACCATGACCTGAGCTGAAGGCAGACGCTTAACAACTGAACCCCAGGCACCCCTCAAGACTGGTTTTCTGCCTGATTCCTGAAACAGTTTCCCCTTTGTCTTAATTCAGGCAGGTGAATGACTGTCTTGCTACCCCAAGGAAAGTGCAAGACAGATCTGGGAGGACACAATTGGGAGAGTCTACCTCTCCTCCCTATCTCTCTTAAATTATCCCAAATCTTACAAGTGTAGGGGAGGAAAAATATCCATTTCTTCTACCCTTCTAAGTTCTCAGCTGGGACCCCATAACAAAAGAACAGATTAACAGGAGAAAAGCATTCACATTTATTTCATATAGGTTTAAGGTGACATGGGAGTCTTCCCTAGGAAATGAAGCCCAAAAGAAGTGATTAAACCTGAGTGTTTGTATGCTAGGATTGATGAAGGGTGGGAAGTGGTGGAAAGATGTGATAGAACAAAGGCTATGAGCTAACTTAATAAATGGGGGGAAACTTAGCAAGACATTTGTTCAGATGTCTCTTCATCTTTGGAGATAAGGCTGCTCCTTTCCTCTGGGTATAGGAAACCCTTTCCCAAGAAAGTTTTATGACCTGTTTCTGGAGAAGGTCAGAAAGGCCTTCCTGAGCCTGTCCTTTCTCAAATTTCTTCAACTTAAAAGATTCAATTTGCCAAGTTGCCATATTCTGGAGTAGCATGTCCTGAACTCTGTCAGAAGCTCCCTGTGCTGGGAATGGACCCTCGTGGTTGGCTTGGCCCTTGTTCCAGCCCCACAATCCTACAGCAAGTTCAGGCCATTTGATGTGTCCATTGTGGGGTCTCTGTTTAAACCACGCCTGTGTCTTCTGCACACTCCTTCCTGGCTGGAAGCAGATTAGGTCAAAGACCTGCTATTTGGGCTGTTCTTTTCTCTAGACTTTTATATGCCTGCTGATTGCAAAAGGAATAGTACCAAGTTGTGTCACCGAAATAACAGAACATTAGTATCTTTTTTTGAAAGTTTTATTTTATTTTACTATGTTATGTTAGTCACCATACAATACATCATTAGTTTTTGATGTAGTGATCTATGATTCATTGTTTTCGTATAACACCCAGTGCTCCATGCAGTATGTGCCCTCCTTAATACCCATCACCGGGCAAACCCATCCCCCCACCCAAAACATTAGTATCTTTACCCAAACAAGAGTTATGACAACAACTATCAACCATATTCAGACTCCTTAGAGCACTGTCTCTTCCATGGTTGCTAAGGTCTTTCTGTGTCAGGCATCTGACATGTGAGTGGTCAGAACAGTGAGTCAGAGACTGATGCTATCTGATGAGCTCCACGTTCCTTTGGGGGGTTTAGTTTTATTGTTTCTGCAGAGCTACAGGCCTGGCTGTCAAAATGGCCCCCAACCCTTAGCCCATTGCTTAATTCAGGCATGTAATGCCTTTTTCTTTTTGTCCAGTTGCTAGGTCAGACTATATCTTATGACTTCCTTCTTTTTTCCACACCAGTCATAAGGAACTCTATATATTTTTCTGTATAAGTAGTAAGTTTTCCATATCTGCTGAGGGGAAAACTGTCCAAGACTTGGAAATGGACCAAAGAGATTACAGTGTGTCCTTTCATTGGGTTGCCAGGGGTTATTCAGCAGATCCACGGAGGATGAACAGACACACATGTATACCTTTGTTTGACTTGCAGGATACAAATGAAATTGTCCAAAACTGCT